CTCCCCCTGTCCTTCTCCCTGCACAGGTCGTCGTACAGGGCGACCAAGGCAGATTCAGTACTGTACCCGGGTCTGAAGCCGGACTGAAAAGGAAATTTTCTAACAAGTTCTTAACAGCAGTGATAAGGATGTAATTAATGTCATCAATGCCTATGACTCACTGAAAAGCACAACATTCCTTCCACAGCTATACATTCTATTGTGAATGCACCAAAATTCTATCCTTGTCCAGAATCTGTGCACCACCTTCTAAAGGACTTGGAATGCGTATCTCTGCCATCTTAAAAACCTGCTATCTCCACTTCATACTATTACAGGAGGAAGGCAATATTGCTTGATATGGCTTTCAACAGTAAAACACCACAGGAAAACACTATAATCTGTCAAAGTCTTTAGCATCTGAGATCCTACATGAACACAGAAACTATTATTTGCTGAATTTTATACTTTGTTTACATCAATGCAAGTGAAATGAAATCATGTTGAAACATATTGAAAAACTTATAGTTATTCAATTTGCTAACACCTACTTGGAAGTTAGATCTCTTGTTATAAAAGATGCCTTTTGAGCCAGCTCTTCCATTAATTTCAGATCATCTTCATCCATCATATCAAGAGGGAGTGCTTCTTCTTTTTCTTCTTCCTCCCTTTCCGCTGGGGAAAATACAAAAAACAGTTAGAAAATACAAAAAACAGAAAGACGGAGACAGATACAAACACACACAAATGCACAGCACCACAAAATACTTTGCAAATGAAAATACTTTGTATTATTTTTCCATGTATATTTCTAGATCAGCACCAGAGGGGAAATAAATAAGATCAACTTTTTAAAACTCTTTCATCCATATAGAAACACCTATCCTCTAGCCCCTGAACACTTACAATATTAAACAGCAGCAAAGCAACTTTTTCCATGAAGGAAAACAGTGCAAATAGTGAACGTTCCTAGAAGAATGACATTACATTATTAAAGTGAGCTGGTTTTCAAAGAAAAGAGAGAAGTTAAATTCGATGGCAAAAGATCATCTCTGAAAGCCCTGGTTCCCATTACTTACACACCTACACTCACATCTCACCTGGATGCTTTTTTTTATCATCCAAAGCCATTGGTGCCCTGGATACAACATCTTTGACAGCTTGTCTAAGTTTCCTCTGTTCCTTTCGGTATTTCTTGGCTGTACTCTGCTGTTTGAACTGTTTGTTTTTTAACTTGTTGTCAAGTTTGATTTTACTTGTCTTCAATAATTTGCGGAAGCTTGGAACTCTTTTGGTATTTCTTCTCTGGCGTGAATAAGGAATAAATTAGTTGACATTTTATATAAATCTATAGCATTCATTAAATGTTTTAAGTCAAGGTGTCCAGCACTAAGAACAAATAATTACAAATAGGAAGAATCTTGTTTCACTCATTCATTCATTAGACAGCAATATTAAGGGCACCATCCAATGTTGCTGCCAGGATCATTTGGAATTCCTAGGATTACAGATTCTATTGCAAAACAGGAGGAACGTGGAGGTTAAGATTGTCTCCATACTTCCTTCATCCTCCATGTTTTTCTCCTCCTGCCAAGGAGAGGCTGAAGATTCATCAAAGAGCAGTGCCACCTGCCTCCACACCCCTCCTTACTGGTTCCAAAGACAGCCCTCCATGTTTGGAGCCCAGCCGGTATAGAAAGAACTGCACCAGTTGCATGGGTGGGGTGTGGCGATCTCCAGGGATGGCATCCTAGCTCTGACCTTGCAGTGTTTTTCCAAGGTTGATGTGAGAATTCCACTCTATCCTATGATCTCCCAGATAATATTAGGAGCTCACAGGACTGCATCCTAAGCTAAAATAGTTAGAAATTGATACAATTAACGCATAAGGGTTTTTTTTAACAGCAAAGCCAATACACATGAATGGAGAAAGAGAATATGGCACTAAAAAACCAACTTTTGCAACAAATTGGGAGTGTGACCACATAAAATCCCTATCTAAAGTCATGTTAGTAGAGACAGGACATTCATGGTACACATTACAAGTCAGCACATTTACCCACTGGCTGTTTCACAATCTTATACTAAAGCAGGGGTGGCCAAACCAAGGCCAAAAAAGCCTATAGTACAGTTACTATATTATAGTAGTAGCCCCTTTTTGCCATGGAGTATGGAAGGGACAGAGTCCAAGGCCAGTATGTGAAATTGGGCTGCTTCCTCTAAGGGCCCTGCTGGAGCTGAGGGGACTGCATTCTAGGGGAGGATCAGGTCCTCATTGAATCTTTCAGTATGGCAGCTGGCAACAAGACTTCCACCTGCTTCTGCTGCTGGGTGATGTCTTGCAGTCAAGTTTCTGAGGCAGCGGTGTGTGGCCACTGGGTTTCCTCCAATATCCAGAGCTAAAAAGAAAGGCCCCACTCTGAAAAGTTTTTAGTTATTTTGGCTTGAAAGCATAGCAGTTCCCTAACAGAAGTTTATTCAGCAATAAGTCTTACTATGTTTGCCACAGCTTACTCCTAGGTAAGTATGCATAAGGTTGCATTAGTTGAAATACAATTTTCAACTATTCATAGCCAAAATGGAGACTCACAAGACCTCTACAAGCAGTAACTAGCCTCATAATTGTAGCAATGTCTGTTTAGCCATAATAAATATTTGCTCATGTCTTGCCGCTCTCAAACATCTGACATTTATCATATACAACTCTTTTGCGGCACAAGTCTGGCTACCCCTGTACTAAAGCAAGGGTTTTTCCGTTCTAGAATTCACTATTTAAAGAGCTCCACTTGATACCACTGACAAATGAAAATTTGTTTTGTTCTACTCTAAGAACTTTGACTCAGTGATGACTGCATATGCATTTGTATTGTGGCATCTAGTAAGGTTACTTTTTGAAAAGCCTTCTACCATAATGGACAGGAAATTCGTATCAGATAAAAGAAACTACTTTTTCACTTAAAACATAGTTAATTCACAAATCTATTGCAATCATTGACCACTTTAATTTATGAAATGATGGCCATCAACTTAGACAACTTTACAAGAAGATTGCATAAATTCCTGAAAGTTTATCAAAGCCCTCTTGATTGTGCTGCTTTCAAGATGCATTGGACTGCAACTCTCATCAGTCCCAGCTGGCATGGCCAACAGTCAGGAAAGCTGGGAGTTGTAGTCTAAAACTTCAGGAAGGCCCCGCACTGAAAGAGGCTGAACTATTGTTTTCACACCCTATTTGTTGACTTCTCAGGGGCATTTGATAGGCCAATGTAGAAAGCAGGTTAATAGACCATAGTTTGATCAAGGAGAGTTTATTTCCTATTCCAATGTTCTTGCTCCTCTGCGACATTTTATTCGGGATTGTTTATACATTTAAGTCACTCTGAGTGCACCGTAAATCGAAGAAAACCAACACATACATTCTGCGAACTATGCCCATGCCTGACCAAGAAGGCAACACGTCCACATCCCCTAGAGAGCTCCCACTACTCACACCCCTTCGGTCTCCAACTGTATCCCTTACAAAACCATCCATTCAGTTGGCTTGATATCTCCCCTTCCTCACACTTTTCCTTATCAAGCCGCGTCCTTCCCCTCATCCCCCAACTCCTACTTCATTCCACCTTTCCCTCGTCTCCTCTCAGCATTGCTCCCACGCTACCTGCCGCTCTCACTCCTCCCCCAACCCATGCAGACGGTACTCTTCGAAACCAGCACGGCCTGCGGGCGCGCGTACGTCGCTCTCTCCCCCTCACCGGCTTCATAACAGCGACAAAGACGCCCAAAAGGCGCAATCCCCTCCTCCGGACAAACCAACGCGCCTCAGACACGCCGGGCGACGGAACCAGTTTCTCCGCACAGGACCGACCGGAAAGCCCGTCAAGCCAACCGGTTTCTAAGTTGCCCACAGCGATCTCTACCGGACTGGAGGGGGAAAGAACCCGACGCCCGTCCGGGACCATAAAGGCAAGAGCCTGGGTTGCTTGTATAGCCCACCTTGGCTAAATGTCAGAGATTAGCATCTCTCAGGCACTCTTTTGGGCTCTCGGGGCTTCGTCACTCACAAAGGGCAGCAGCTTAATCTTTTTTTGTCGTAATGGAAAGAAAATTGCGTCCTTCGCGTTATCTGAATTTCATGCGCGTTGAGAGACTGTCTACTATGAATACGTTTACTTCCAGGCCATTTCATTTAAGTCTAACTCACTTTCAAACGTTAGGCTCCCATACAAATGATTGCTGG